AGGTAACCATTCGTTGGCAGCATGGCTTGCAAAAATAGCAGTGTTATATTAGACTGTTATTTATATTAGAACCTCTATTTCCATACCATGAGAAAGGATAGTTGTGCTTTGTTCTGTACCAATCAGGGCACATCTGCATCGCTGTTCTTCTCCCAGTTCTACATGACTCATTTTAAGAAGAACATAGACAAATCAGAGTGGGTATAGAGGACAAGGACAATGGCAATGATTAGCATTAAGGAAAACAAAATGAATGGGGAATGATTGAAGGAAATTGGCATGTTTACTGAGAAAACCGAAGAGGGGAAAGGGTCATCATGACTTGAGCAGGGTGGCTTGGAGGTCTCTCATTCATAGGATCACCATAAATCAAAGTTGACTTGAAGGCAGTTGACAACAAAAACAAGAGCAATTCAGTGATGACATCAGTGACTCAATGCAGTTGTGGAGGTCTTCAGGCAAAGGCAGGGGTGTTTGTTTAGCTATATTCATTCTAAATCATCTACTTTAAATAAAACGTCTGATACAATGCCTTACAAGATTGATTCTATAATTCTGCAAAATGATTCCATCGAGGCATGTGAACCTTGGAATGAGCCGCACTGCAACAGGACATCCAATAGTGGGCTAGTAGTCTACTTCTTCTGGTTCTAGGCCAGAGTTCACTAGAGTTATGCATTCATGACTGGTCTGTATTCATTACACCTACATATTCTTCAGTTTAGGGAATACATAGAGATCATAAAAGTCCCCCAATGACCAGGTCACAAACACTGCCAATAGGGGTCAGTTTCTCCAACCATCAGAAAGGTGTTGCCTGATGTTTCCAACCCCCTTCACCTGAGTAATATCCTGGGGGTTGGGATGAAGGAGTTGCAACAGGGACCCTGCTTTTGGCTGTTGCGTGGGAGATCATTCACAAGAGGAATGAGAATGTCATTCAGCTACTAATGAACAACAGAGGAACAAACCTCCATTGATCACAATAGCTGCTGCCTGGTAAGTAGGGATGAAGGGAGTCAGGTCAAGAGGCATTACTTAGCTATGGCAATACGGTGGTTACACATTTGTAACCACATTATTGAATTCCAACCATTGTTTTTTGTTGAAACTTATAAATCTTGCAGTCAGAACCTGGAACAGAAGACACTTAGAATTAATCATTCCGTGTATAGGAATTTGTTCGGTGTACCAAAGTTGAAGAGAGTTTTTAGTGTCAGTCTTTATACATAACCATTGTTGACACTCAATATGCATAGTGACTAAATCCAGCCAAGTTGTTTTGGAACATGAGGCAGAAAATCCTTTACTCTTAGCTGGTCTTAAAAATGCAGTAACAACAAATTAAAAAAATTAACAACTTACTGTCTTTTCATGAGACCCCAAATTTGCTGCAGTTGTCATTGCTGGCCACCTCACCTTGCCTAATGGTAGGACTGGCCCTGATTTCAGGTTCCCTAGAAGGAAACTGTTACACAGTTGATCTATATCAGTGGCTCTCAACCTGTAGGTCCCCAGGTATTTTGGCCTACAACTCCCAGAAATCCCAACAAGGTTACCAGCTGTTAGGATTTCTGGGAGTTGAAGGCCAAAACATCTGGAGACCTACAGGTTGAGAACCACTGATCTATATCCTTCCATACAATCCCATTTGATGTTAGTGTGTTGAAAACAGAACATTAAAGAGATACTTCATATATGAAGTGATTATCATCTTCATGAAATAAAATATTATGAACAGTTCAGACTGTCCACAGTGGCCCTTGATAAGAAAACTGGAATTGGATATTACTTATTCTGACCTGATTAACATAAAAGCTACCAATATGATTTAGCACCCTTGAGCAGTTTTGCTACTAATAAGAGATTGCTCGGGATAATCTCTACTGCATCTCATGCATGGAATAATAAAGGAAAGAAAGTTGAAGGGCTGGCAAGGCTAAGAGAGAAAATGTTTATTAAGAAGTAAGTTTCACCATGTTCAGTACCATTTCCTCTCAGCTTGTTTTATAGTAATTTGAATGTTGAACTGTAAGTCTGGTGAACAGGATTTAAATCCTCACTGCAGAAACCTACACTCTGTCAGCCTCAGGGGAAGGCAATGACAATCCCTCTCAGAACAAACCTTGCCGAGAAAACTCTGATAGGTTTTCTATCAGAAGACACCTAATAACAAAGTATAAGCTAAAGTGCATTCTTATTTTTGCCAGTTTAAACCCAATTGTTATGGTTTAATTCCTTTTGACTCATTCAATGGGTCTTACTCCTAAGTAAATATGAATAGGATAATATTGTTAAGCTCCAATGCTGTTGCAGCCTTCTTGGAGAGTCATTTTCAGTGAAGTCATATAAGGCTTTTCATCCTTTGGGTATTAACAACTGTGTTAGTGCCCTTTTAGATCTTGCACTGCTTTTGTAGCTATTTGCATTTTTAAAGGGATTGACATTTCATTTTGTTTTATTATGTTTTATGGCTTTAACCTGTTATTTCATGAACCTCTCAGAAAACCTGGTTACTGGCCAGTACACAAATGTAATAAACAAACTCAGATTAACACTGTGTGTGTAAGTGAAGGGTGCATGAATGTCAGCATACATATTTGTAGACTTGCAGTCTCAACACACAAAGGCCTAGCATGAATCACAAGTCAAATTCTCTCAGCCTCAGAGGAACTAAGGGCAACCCCCCTCTGGACAAATCTAGCTGAGAAAACCCTGTGATAGGTTCACCTTAAGGTCACCATATATCAAAAATGACTTGAAGGCAAACAGCAACAAGACATTAACAGGATTCTGGCCACAGAGTGCCTGTTGAAATAATGCTTTCTTTGGTATGGATTATGGACAGGTGGACTTTTGCTGGTAGATACTAGAACTCATCAGAACTGGGAAGATGTCTGAGTTCTCCTTAGCCTTGTAGTTCCCATCTGAATCTCTCAAACTGGTTTGTGGTAAAAGGTTGGAAAACACTCTCGAACTGGCATTCAAATGAAAAGTGCAGAAAAAAGAGGAAAGGATGGCATTTCAAAACAATTATGTTAGAGGAACTTGGGATTTAACCCTATGTGCATATGTGAGAAAACTCTTCCAGGAAATGTCCTTGAAGAACACAGAAGAGTAGGTCAAAGTGAACCTTTTCACATAATGAAACTACAATTAGGAAGATGAGAACATATTTAGGATTCAATCAGCTTAAACTTCAGAACACCATTTAAGCGAGAATGAGAACAAACACAACCCCTCCACAAAGAGCCCAGGATCTTAGCAGGACTTGAAATATTCTCTTGCAATGATCAGCCTCGTGGGCTGTAGATTAAAGAGAAAGAACTGCCGTCTCATCTTCAAAATGCCGAATGCTTGGGAACAGAGCTGTCTCATTTATAGGTTGCTTTAGAGAGCTCTGTTCAGGTAACATACATAACACGCTTTCATCTTTCCTTTCCCTTTTTCTTTTTAAAGGGCTCTTTCCAAATAATTGCTGATTCATGCAAAGAAAAAACAGACCGACTGCCTTTGTGTTTACATTGGCACTTTGCTATTGTGATAGTTTTGTAGTTGGTGCTGAACTTCATCAAACTTTAACAAAAAATGCATCATTGTGACTCATTTACAGCCTGATCCAGTCAGTTATGGCACTGACAGCTACTACCTGCTTAAAGAAGAAAATAAATGCTCAGGCTACGGCTGATCCACCTGCCCAACCCTTCGTTCCATGCATCCAACTGCATCGAGACATGAAGCCCTTCTCAGGTTGGTAGCTCTTCTCAGCCCTCTCAACGGGATAGGACACTCACCATAACTGAGACCAAAAATCTGGTTTATGATGGAAATATATATTCCACTAAGAATTCTTGCATTTGCTATTAAGAAGTCCTGATGGCTCTTTGTCATAGAGGATGGAGTGACAGCACTCCCCTGTGGCTGGATTTGAGCACAACCTCCAAGGTATCAAAAAGCTGGAAGTCAACACAAGATACCTCCTTTCTGTTCTGTCTGTCTCTGTCCTGTCTGTCCAAAAATGGCATTGCATGTTGCCATGTATGTGTACTGTGATCCACCCTGAGTTTCCTTGGGGAGCTAGGGCGGAATACAAATAAAGTGTTGTTGTTGTTGTTGTTATTAGGGGAATGGGGTTTTAGGTAGTGTAATGGTTTGCTGAGTGTGTCTCCCCTATACATACCATCTCTAGAGCTTTCCGCATTTGCTTAATCACCAGTTTTAATGAACTGCTGTCAATGTGTTCAGGTATCTAAGCAACCACTGTAGAAACCTCCAGGTATCTGTGGCCATGTAGATTCCTCCCCGCCTTCTCTCTCTATCTCTTTTTCCTTCTCCAATATATAATTGCTTCAGAAAACATTGGTGTAACACTGAGGATGTCTACAGCAATAATACAGAAATGTACACAGAAATGTGTATACACTTATAGTGGTATGATTCCACTTTAGCTTCCATAGTTCCCTCCTAAGGAATCCTGAGATTTGCAACTGATTTCATTAAAATCCTCAGCCAGAGAATTCTCAACCCAAGGATTTTATAGGATGCTTGTCATGTCGGTTAAACTGTAGTCGTAGTGTTCTAACTGTACAGTGTGAAAGGGCCTGAAGTCTTTCCATTCCCATCTCTTCCTGGCTTGATAATAACATGCTTGATAAGCCTCTCTGAGCCTAAGATCTGGGTCTGGCTGTGAATGTTCATCTCATTTCATGTAAATTGGCTTCTCTCAGACCTCAGCACGCTATTGCTGGAGCTAGTACGCTCACCCTTAAGGAGCAGTTTCTGTCCGCATCACCTTCCTGTGAGAGAAATGCTACATTCTTTTCTTTGGGGTTTATGGAAGTGCAGCTTCCGAGTTGCTTTTCTGTATGTTCATTTTGCTGAATGAAATTTTCTGCTTTAACTTCTCAGCTCTAAACTGAGCAGTAAAAAAAATAAATAAAGCTATTCCACATTTCCATCTGCAGGGTTGAGACGGTTTCATTAGTATGCAGTGCAGGTAGAGTCAGGAGATTGTCTCTGTGCGACATATCTGGATTCACCTCTCTGGTTTATACAGAAAAGGTGAGAAATACAAAGATTCCTTTGCTGCTTTGGGGGAAATATATATAAGGTAGCTCTGGAAATTTTAACGAAGATTGTATGCTGAGATTTGTATTATCTCTCATTGCAATCGGTGTCTCCTTAAACTGCACAAAAAGGCAAAGAAGGTCAGTAAACACCTTCCACAAGGAAAATAATAAAACTCATTTGTGTTAATTACCTGTTGAAATTCTGATAACTTACAAAGGGGAGAAGCACCTGACCTTTATCTGAAAGGGCTTTGGCAAAGCCTAGCATCAAAGAACAACCTCCCATTGTTCTCTTGCTCCTGTCTTTGAGCAAAAAGCTTGCTGGCAAGGTCAGAGAAGTCTCAATGTATTGTGTGTCCTTGTTCGGGAAGCCATTGTTTCTGTTGATTTTGAAAACTGCAACACTGGAAAAAAAGAAAACCTGCATTGCATTTTGGCAAAAGTACATTAGGTTGAATAGAAGAAGAGATATAAAAAAAGGGATGTAGTATGAGGGAGAGTGAGCGGAAGACTGCGGGGGAAGAGCCTGTGTTTTCTCAAGATCCTTGAATCCTTTTTACAGAGCTGGATTATTTGGGGGAAGGAAATAAACACAAGTTAGAAAATTCTGCAACTTTGCAGTTGTTTTAAAACAGGAGAAAATAAATCTGTCCCATTAAATATTAGCATATAAACAGTGGAACTGAATTTGATTGTGATACATACCTTTAAAATATGAAATAACAACAGGAGAGCCATTCATATATTCAAAGACAAAATTCATATTTGTGCCACTGGGGGCTTGAAATAAATATCAAATATGGAATTGGAATCAAGATGCTTGACAATGCTGAATAGCAATGGATTCAAAGATGTGTTTAAATCATTTTTTTTAAATGGAACACAAGCTATTTTGTATCCAGCATTTCATTTTTCTTCATCTTCTGCAAAATAGTACCAAACAGCTGGATTTCATTTATAAGAAACTGGATGAAGACATTCCTGAGCTGAGGATGGAGGTAGTCATCAAATGGACCAATTAAAGATCAGATGTGACATAATAGCAGAGCCGCCTTCCAAGACGCAGGAGGTACCACGCTTTTTTTGTCCATTAATCAATGATAATCCTGAATTACAATCCTTAATTATTTGTAAAGACTCTTATATACATATACAGGCAGTCGATAATCAGCCATGTAATGCAAGGCGGTAATTCTATCAAGGGATTTTGGTGATACCATACACCAACACAAATATGGAGCTTTATAGAAATCACGGTAGGATTTGCTAAGATTAAAAGTGTTGACTACTGGTAAGCCTAATTTGTAATTTTACCTTTCCCCAAACTTCAAGTTTATTAAAATTCTTCCCGTTGTTGAAGAAATAAAAGTGGGAACTGGAAGAGGGTATTATTGTGACTGCAAGTTCATGCCTTGATTCATGGAAAAAATCGCAGTGATGATTGCATCTCATGGGAATGGGAAGGGTCAATTTTGTTATTGACAGATTGCTGTCATAATGTTCAGTGGAATTTGACTATATTTTCTAAGAATGTATAAAACACTGAAATCATCTGCACATTTATGTATATGTCCCTATTAAAGGTTATCTGGGGTGTCAGACACAGCCCCCCCCCCCTTGTTGGCACAGTGAGTTAAACTGCTGAGCTGATGAACTTTCTGACTGAAAGATTGGCTGTTCAAATCCAGGGAGTGGGTGAGCTTCCACTGTAAGGCCCAGCTTCTGCCAACCTAGCAGTTCGAAAACATGCAAATGTGAGTAGATCAATAGCTTCCACTTCTGTGTGAAGGTAATGGCACTCCATGCAGTCATGCTGGAGGTGTCTATGGACAATGATGGCTCTTTGGCTTAGAAATGGAGATGAGCACCACCCCCCGCCCAGAGTTAGTCACAGCTAGACTTAATGTCAAAGGGAAACTTTTACCTCTTAGGGTGTCAGACAATATGTTCTCTCTGGATTTACCCTAATTTGTAATATGATTGCGTTTTCATGGCTGAGTTGCTGAACTTGCTGACCAAAAGGTTGGCGGTTCGAATCCGGGAAGTGGGATGAGCTCTTGCTGTTAGCCCCAGCAGTTCAAAACCTGCAAATGTGAGTAGATCAAAAGGTACTGCTTTTGCAGAAAGGTAACGGCACTCCATGCAGTCATGCTGGCCACATGATCTTGGAGGTGTCTATGGACAGCTTAGAAATGGAGATCAGCACTACCCCCCAGGGTTGGACACAACTAGATTTAATGTTAAGGGGAAACCTTTACTTTTACCCACTTTTCTATTCATTTCATTTTTTTCTTCTCTATCCTGCTGTGTCATTACACAATGCAATTCCTCCTAGTTGTGTTCGACTACAATTCTCATCACGCTCCAGCCAATGGTATTCTGTTCAAATCCCTTTCAAAATATCACCCTATAAAGGGAACTGTTGATCAAATAGCCGTATTGAAATTAATGCACTGACATTATCACAGTTAGAACATACTGAAATGGCTTTGTTGTTTTCAAATTAACCTCAGCATGTGAAGACATGAGTTGGATCCCATCTTAGTTGTACTCAGAAGAGATCTTTTGAAATCAATGGGACATAAGTTATTAATGGTTTATTGAAAGTGTGGCTAAGTATAGATCCAACTCACTGGTATTAATCAGCAATTGTGGGAGCATTAAAATGAGATGGGTAGGGTGGGAAAACCACAAGTTTAGGAAGATGTATAAGTGGATACATAGATAGCAATAACAACCAAGACAATCTGAGACAAGAACTAGAGAAGGATCAGAATATATACACAACAGATAAAGACAAGTTTGTGGATGGCATCACATTACTTTTTAACTAGCACCTCAAGATCCATGTGCAAAATGTTGATGATAGGCAGACTATCAGAGCCCATCGTGGAGTTAAATGTGCTGTGGAGAGCTGAGGACAGAGAAAACTCTATTGTTTAGGTCAGTTGGGAGGAATTTCAGGTTCTGTCTATCATAAGTCCCAACCTGTTCATTGGGCTTCCTTAGGTAGCTAAACTTCCATCCCATGAAATCATCATGTGGTGATTTCTCTCTTTTTATATAGTTTTTCCTATCTAAAAGATTGAAATTCCTCTTTGAAGGCTTAGTATTGGCAATAAGAGCATTAATCTAAGGGAAGTTGGCTATTTACTATTTTAGCAGTTTTGGTCCACCACTAGAATGTCACCAACCTCCCAGTTACTCTAAAATTAAATTTGACTTTCAGGCTAAATGAGGTTCCCTGCCTTTGATCTAGGTCATCTACTAAGTAGGTTGACTGGCATGCACAAAGGCATGCATCTGAATGGTAAAGGCCAAAATCCAATTGCTTACAAAAATAGGCCCACAGTGTTGACTTATTCAGCAATTGATTTCATGAATCTTGCAGTTGGATGTAGGCCTGCCTAACTTAGACCTAAACATCATCTTCATTAAACAACTGGGAGTTGGGCTTTCATTGATCTTTTGCAAGTCACCGAGATCTTCCAATAGTGGTAGACTTTCATCTACCCATTCTGCCCATCCTTTCTATATGCAGAAGATAAGAAGCTATTGCTGTCCATGTACTATTCATGCTGGCACATCATGTGCTCATCTCCCAAGAGTAGGGACAGTATAGCTGGAAACTAGAAAGATGTCACATCAGAAAAGCAACCCTCAACCAGCTGCTGTGCAGACACACTGGCCAAGGCTAAGTCCCAGGAGAGAAGGTTTCTCCTTCAGGCAAGCAGTCAATGCTCTGCAACAAGACAGGAACTGACAAGACATGCAGCATCTGTGCTTTATGCGTGACAGGTGTGGACAGGAGAGGGGGCCTTTGTCCATATAAGGCAGTGATAAGGACAGGAACTGATCACTGCAATGTGCTGCTTGTCAGTCTCTATCAAATTTCCAACTCTCCATTCGAATTGTTTTATGCCAGATCTATTATGTGAATGAAACAATAAGCCCTCATGATTACTCTCAATTTGGGTGGCTTTTTTGCCCATATATCTGTTGTGAAGGGATGTAACATTGTGAAATGCACAGCAGTAAGTCCTGCCTATGACGAGAGCATATCATTTAGGCAATCATAGTGTCTGCTATTATTAAAATGACTCTGGAAAAATAAGTTGCAAAATGGCATTTTAGTCCTACCAGTGATACAAGTTTGGTGCAAAATTGCATAGGTAGCTTTTAAGCACTGGGCTTATGTGTGTCTCACAATTGAACACAATCATAGCATAGACTCAGAATTTGATGATAATACAAAGATCAGCAAACCTGAGTGTTCTTTAAAGACCTAAATGAATTTTCAACTATGTAGTCAAAGGCTATCGAGCAAATTTTAGAAGCCCAGAATTTTGGCAAACAATGCTTGCTAGTTGCCACTGAAATGTAGGAACTGCTGCAACACTCATTATTTAATGACCAAAGGTTCTTATCCCTTGCTTCTATATCCAACCCCTTTCTCTACTTTTTACTCTTACCACAAATAAGTATTTTTTTAAATCCATAATTAGTGGCACAACTAGTGATGGCTGGTGGTCTCCACATCAGTGAGATGAAAATCTTTTCGATCCTGAACTAGACCCATTAGTGGAAAGTCACCAGGCACAACTAGATGAAATCATACTTTAGATTGGGTTATGACCTTCTTTGAGTCCAGTAACACAACAATTTTAATTAATTAATTAATTAATTAATTAATAAACTTTATTTGTATCCCATCCCAATGGGTTTCATTTGAGAATGACACTGACTAGTCATAGCACATCTGGAAAAGCCCAAACTGATAAAGACGTCTAGAAACTAAGTCCTACAAGGGATGGATATAAGCGCCAGGTATACACGTATTTAGTCTGGAGAGGAGATGATTAAGTGGATACATTTCAAACATTCCTCATGTATCTGATAGTCTGTGAGGGACAAGAAGGCAGACTTGCTTTCTGTTGCTTTCTAGCAGGATTACAATTGGGAAGAAACCATAATGCAGTAGCTACTGACTAAACCTTAATAGAAAGCTCCTGAGAAGTATTAATGTACTGAAGAATGGTTGCCACAAGAAGTGGTATGTTTCCTTTCATCTGGAGATACTGAAGTAGAGGCCAAATAGCCATCTTGCACTACAAAGTTTGCAATGAGCAGAGGACCAGACTGGGTGATTTCCAGATCTATGATTCTATTAATTCAAACACTGAATATTGCTATTGGTTCTGGCAAAAGCAAAATACAAACACATTGGCAGAGATTAAAAATGTTACCACTACAGAAACAAATTTTTTTGGAGCACACTGACTGGGGAATTATGGGAGTCAAACTCCAAAAATTAACTTTCCCAAGCTCTGCACATTGGGAGGTTCCTCTGCTCCATCACTTTGGACCAAATATGTCATTTTTAGTTCTGGGAATCCACCAAAATATGGCTAAATTTCGTAATTTTGTCAAGATTGTGAAGAGCAAGAGTAGTTGTTTGGGATTTTTTGTGTGCTTTACTCTTTTTTCAGACAGGTTTTTTTCAGACATGAGGGGGAGGCCTGAAGGCTTAAGGGACTACAAACTTCCAGTAGCCACAAGTGAGTTGCAAGCAACACTTTCCTGTCTCCTCTATTAAAAGCTGTTCTGTACCTTCCCATTTGCTGTCCAATAATAGTGCTGGTACTATCAGTGGTTGGTTATAGCTGTCTTTGTTTTCTTTCTAGCCAAGAGATGGGAATGCAGACTCACTGCACCTCCTACTCTGGCTGATGGATAGCATGATAGAAGACGGCACTTTGCATGGTGGATGAATGAGCAAATTCTAATCTGCTGCTCACTGTTGGTGAACAATCTCAAATTCCTCCTCCTCCTTCTTTTGGCTATCTTTAGTACTGGACTGGACCACCTTTCAAATAGAACATGCCTTGAAATAGATAACTTTCTTCTCTGTAAGATAGGACACTTTGCCATACCATTCAGATGCACAGAGCTATGGGATCCACATTTTCAAGTGCTATTTTTATTGTCTTTAGTCTGGCTTTAAATACTCCCTGGAATTATGCAAATGACACTTTTAAAAAAATAACAGCTGATGTTATGGAAAGATAG